GGTCAGTAGGGGGCCCCATGAGATGCCCCTGGTACCTTTTTCATAGGCTTTTTTGAGTTTGGGTAAGGACACAGGGGCCCCATGATCCCCTATTGCCCGGGGGCCCCATGAGTTGTCAGTCCGCCCCTGGGGGGAACAGAAAGTGTCTTCACCCAACAGTTACCACAAGGCTGGAAGAGCCCAATTATTTACGAGGTTCTTGTAGGATTTTTTGCTGACTGCTGGAGGATCGGATTCATTACGTTTCATATATCTAATCGCTGAAGTTGTTTCTTTTTATTGCGCAAGACGGGAAATGATCCCCACATGGCGCTGGATGTCTCCATCGGGAGAAGAATGTGAATTGGCCCCATAAACTCATTACCTGATATAAAGTCATACAGATAAGATTGGGGCCCCTTGGAGACGCGGCCGGGGGATGAATCGGAAGACGAAGTTCTAGTGATCCGAGGAATTTGTCCGGTTATTGATTGATGCCGAATGGTAACAGGTGGGGGGGGGGAAGGGCAGCAACTGGGCTCTCCAGGTGGGGAAACTCACCAGAACAAAAATCGATTTGGGCAGTAGGGTCAGCGAGAGGATTAGGAGTCGGGGTGAAGGGTTTGATATCGCGGTCCAGGCAATGGCTGAGAATTCGTTGTCTGTGGTCGGTGCGCCCCATCCTGGCCCTCAGGCCTTTATTATGAGGAGACCTTGGGTGCTTGGCACCACTCACATCGGAATTCCTGGAATACAGCGTGAAGGTCTCTTTTACACAGTAATTGTTTGTCGGAGTTATCTAGGGGGGGGTAACAAAGCTGGTTTTATCTGTCCTGGGTCATTTTCAGGCTAATTGCAGCTTATTTTCAGCTTCCCCTTCCAATGATGAGGTTTAAACAAGGGTGGGGGTGGGGGTGGTGGTGGTGGTGGTGGTGGTGGTGGTGGTGTACACATCTCTGCCGCAGGGGAGGTGAGACTCCTTACAGAAAGGAGCATTATCTCCGCAGAGCAACATCTCGGTGTCTTCAGGTGTCACATTAAACCTCATAGAACAACAACCGTAGAAGAACGTTTCCTGGGCCGGGATCCGGATCTCCAGCTTCCTGCCAAGTTGTGTGAATGGCGGCTGTCATCACCGTCCTCTCCGCTTTGTGCAGAAATAATCTGCAAATATGACATTTTACACCAGATAATGCCGAGACGGATTATCGCTGGAAGGAAGGAAGGAGCGCTGTTTTCATAAGCGTAACTAAAAGCTGCTGACCAATCTCAGCCGGGGCCCCGTGTGCCAGATGTGGCCCTGCGGCTCGGCTTCCACCTGACTATCCAGTCACAAAGCAGTTCCAGAAAAGTCTTCCTGCACCGGGACAATACTTCAGAAGTACCCAAATAATGCTGCGCCCATTCAAATCCAATGATCATAAACAGGAGTCCTTTAGGTCCCAGGGAGTAGGACTCAGAACCTGGGAAATAGGACCAAGGACCCAGACCCAAGGAACCAGTACATAGGATCATGGACCCCAGAGGTTGTAACCAGACCATAGGAACACGGACGCAGACCATAGGAAACAGTAGATCAGAAAATGAACCCAGGCCATAGGAACCAGTACACATAGAACCATGAACCCAGGCCATAGGAACCAGTACAGAAGACTACAAACCCTAGAATGTACCCAAGACATAGGACCACAGATCCAGATCATAGGAACCAGTACAGAAGACCACGAACCCTAGAGTGTACCCAAGACATAGGACCACAGATCCAGATCATAGGAACCAGTACAGAAGACCACGAACCCTAGAGTGTACCCAGGACATAGGACCACAGATCCAGATCATAGAAACCAGTACACATAGAACCATGAACCCAGGCCATAGCAACCAGTACATAAGACCACAAACCCTAAAATCTTGTAGCCAGGACATGGGACCGTGAACCCAGGCCATAGGAACCAGGACATATGACCACAAACCCTAGAGTGTACCCAGGACATGGGACTATAAACCTTAGAGACTTTGTTCCAATGACATAGGACCATAAATCAAGGCCATAGGAACCCGTCCACAGCACCATTAACCCTAGAGTTTGTACCCAGACCATAGGAACCAGTACAGAGGACCATGAATCTTAGTGTTGGTACAAAGGACCATAAACCCAGGCCATAGGAACCAGTAGATAGAAGTATGATCCCTATGGTTTGGAACCAGGACATAGGACTCAGAACCCAGGACATATGACCATGAATGCAAGGCATGGGGCTGGACAAATCCATATAGGTCTCCATCATTGCTTGGGGTCTCAGTGTGAGTGGTCTCCATCATTGCAGGCAGTCTCTTGTAAGTGGTCTCCACTATTGCTGGCGGTCTCTCGTAAGCGGTCTCCATCATTGCAGGCGGTCTCAGTGTAAGTGGCCTCCATCATTGCAGGCGGTCTCAGAGTGAGCAGTCTCCATCATTGCAGGCGGTCTCTTGTTTTGAGCGGTCTCCATCATTGCAGGCGGTCTCTTGTTTTGAGCGGTCTCCATCATTGCAGGCGGTCTCTCAGTGTGCATGTTCTCCACCATTGCTGGCGGTCTCTGATGTCTGAATTGCAGGCCTCCAGTGCTGTGGTCAGTTCAGGAATGTCAGTTGCGTCCTGTAATTGGCACTGAATGCAGCTCGGCCAGGAATGTCGGTTTTGACTCATCTCTGCGGGAAGTCATGACGGTCCACGCTGCAGCCCAGCAGCCAATCACAGGCAGACAGCCGAACAACGGAAGTGTATCTGAGCCCAGGGAGGACAAGGTCACACACACACACACACACACACACACACACACACACACACACATATACACACACACACACACACACACACACACGTTACAATGGCTGGAACAGAAGAACGCAACGCGATTTTCTTTTGGAAAACTAAATGTGCGGTTTTTATTTCTGAGAAAATAGTACAACCGGCATCCAACAAGCGATCAATAAATATCAAAAAATAAATAATTAATACAGAATGTACAGAATTAACACTGAGCGCAGAACCGCCGTCTGAGTACAAAACGGGAGGAATAAGTTAGAAAACGATAAAATGGTGGGGGAGGGGTGGATATGGGGGGGGGGGGGTGGTTGGGGGGGGAAGGCACTTGGGTGTGTACACGGGGGCGGGGCACTTCTGATTGTGCGATCTTAGGGAGGTCTGTAGGATACGAGATTGGTGTGTGTGTGGGGCCTCCATATCTATTTCATAGCAATGGTATACCTGGGATCACACTCGGGGGGGGGGGTATATTGGGAGTCTTAATTACTAAAGCAGCGTCGGCCAATCACGGTGCTGAGTGAATGTTACTGAACACAGCGCCCCCCCCCCCCCCCCCATTTACGAACACCCAATCATGTGCATGGAACAGGAAAGAAGGCTTTTTTGCTCACACATGATTGGACATTCATAGAGAACACGGCTTCACCCCATTCACGACGCACAGCGAGCCACCCCCCCAAAACTGATATTTGCTGTGCAGAGGATGTAGGACCTCTGGGAGCCCCCCCTCCCCCCCTCTTCCCCCAACCCAACCACTTTGGGGGTCACACTCCTCCTGCTGCATTCTCTGTAACAGAAGAGAAAATGATCAAGTTGGGATGCCCTCATAAATCGGCACAGCAGGTGTACAGAGCCGGGAACTCAGCACAGGGATGGTGGGAACCCCTCATAAATCGGCACAGCGGGTGTACAGACCCGGGAACTCCGCCCAGGGATGGTGGGAACCCCTCATAATGGGCACAGCAGGCATACAGACCCCAGAACTCGGCACAGGGATGGTAGGAACCCCTCATAACAGGCACAGCGGGCGTACAGACCCAGAAGATCTCACCAATACACTCGGAAACCTTTAGGCGGCGCTCCAACACACACCAAATCTCAATCCGTTTTGTGTCCTTGGGCAGTTTCTATGTAAAAAGGTAAAACATGGCGTCCGATGGGCCACCAGATGGGCAGACACTGCAGACTGGCAGTGAATTTCACGTATTTTTGGACTGTGGCTTTATTGGGTACCATTCCAAAAAAAAAAAAAAAAAAAAAAAAAAAAAAAAAAAAAAAAGGAAAAGGTCGCCACATTGGAGAAGGCCCTCTTTTTTTTTTTTTTTTTTTTTTTATAAAACCACATAAAAAAAAAAAAAAGTTTTAAGATGCGAACCTTGTAATTTCCCAGGAATGCCCTGAAGGGTTTTTATAAAGTGGCCAGATGGCTTGCATCTGCAGCGGCTCTGAGCCAGGGGGAGGTCAGCGGGGCGTCAGTGGGGGAGCTCAGCGGGGGAGGTCAGCGGGGCGTCAGTGGGGGTCAGCTCAGCGGGGGAGGTCTGCGGGTATCGCCCGGTAGCGGGCCATCTCTATTTTTAAAACAAAATATATAAGAACATTGAAAAGTGCTCTGCAGTCCAGCAAAATACACTGCATGCCGCAGCACGCGGAGCCACCGCAGGTTCACCCCCCCCCCCCCACCCCCGGCGGGGAGAAAACACTTGTTGTCCGTTTGTATGGGCGTCTCTCCCGCACCGTGGCGGCTCCATGAGCGTCCAATAGTCCACAGTACCCGTGTGGGGGGTTGTAGTATTGCATATCGCTGAGCGCAGAACATCCACACCAAGTCCTTGCGGCGGGAGATGGCGCATCTAGGCGTCCAATCAGATGAGGATCTCCGACATGGGATGAGGATCTCCCGCATAGGAGGAGGATCTCCCGCATAGGAGGAGGATCTCCCGCATAGGAGGAGGATCTCCCGCATAGGAGGAGGATCTCCCGCATAGGAGGAGGATCTCCCGCATAGGAGGAGGATCTCCCGCATAGGAGGAGGATCTCCCGCATAGGAGGAGGATCTCCCGCATAGGAGGAGGATCTCCCGCATAGGAGGAGGATCTCCCGCATTGGTCTGGAGTGGAGGAGAGTCCGGTCAGCAGCGAGGAGAGTCCCACCTCCAGCACGGTCGCAGTTTAAAGGCAAGGCTCCATTTCGGCGTCGGAACGGCGTTGGCTGCCCCTCAGATGGGGATCCCCATTTGGTTGGCCTGTTCTTTGAGTCCCATGATGCTGAAGGCGACCCTCTTCTGGTGGCCCGGGAGTCGGATGCCCAGCTGCTTGATGTCCCTGCGGAGGAGAGAACGTTCCGTTAAAGTCCATCAGTGATGAGCTTTTCTGGATCACGACTCGCAATACCGGTTATTCATCATGTTTACAACGTAGCATTTCCCCAGATTGCCCAATAAAACCTTTACAAGGTAGCAGAGCCAGTTCCGTACCTCTATCTATAACCCGGGTGGGGGGGGGGGGGGGTTAGGGGACACCTTGGAACTCAGGTAGTGGAGGATTATGGGTCACCAGGCCCAGACATGGTCATCACATTAGGAGCCGTTCCAGCAGCTCACCCAGCGGATACGCCGAGGCTCATGGTTCTACAGCACAGCGAGGGCGGCGGCACCCTGGAATAACTTCCCACACTCAGAGTGACCCTGTCATTTCCACAACAACCCCCCCCCCCCCCATAGGATTACATACGTTCTATCCATGTTCTCCATCTAGAAACCCCTCGCTTGTATAGATCTCCAACAGGCCCAAGACTACTGCTAGGTGCCACCATCTTGGGTGTGATGTCAGCAGAGTTAGATAGTATATCCCTTCACTCCTTCCCTGGCTGCTACATGAAAGGCTATCTAGGGAGGTGAGGGGGTGGAGGAGCTGGGCCAACACAGACCGCTCCCTCTCAACAGGACATCGTAGGAAGTGGACACTTACTCTTGGCTCATCAGGATGATCTTGTCCATGGTGTTGAACGCCGAAGCCATAAAGCACTCCGTATATTGCTGCATCTTGATGGACTCCAACCACTCGGCAATACTCCGGAAGGGCATACCGTCCGATCCGCTCGTGCTGGGCAACCGAATGGAGATTCTGCGGAGAGAGGGCGGAGTCACGGGTCAGATGATCTTTTGTCAATCTAAAAATGATTGATGGTGTTAAGAAAAGAGCTAACTGAAGATGCTACAGATCTGTACAGGCTCCCCTTTAAATGTGGGCTTCTAGATGGGCACCAACTTCATCATCTCCAGAACCTCACAAGGTCAATGGAGGTTGCCCACATGTAGCTGACCAATAGCATGGTGGAAGGAGAGTGGTGGACCAAGACACCCAAGAGGGAAGCCATGCATCAAAGCATGGCAGGATTTCTAACTAAAAAGAGACTCAAGTTCCACCCTAAATGTGGCCATCCCATCAAAGTTCACAATTTTACGGGGTTTTTGGCATGCACCCACCTTGGGTCAAAGTCAGCCAGGGTCTTCAGAGATTCGGGGGCTCGGATCAGCTTGTCCAGGATACTGACGATGTCCGGGAACTTCGGCCGGCGGTTTCGCTCCTGTTGCCAGCATTGCATCATCAGCTGGTAGATGGCGGAGGGGGCATTCCATGGGAGCCGGCAGGCGGAAACCTTCATTAATGGCCTTCATGACCTGAAAAAAGGCAAAAAAAAACAAGGCATCAGGCGATGCAGAGAAAACATAAAAACCATCAACCGCTAAAAGTGACAAGACTGAGCTTGCCGTCGCGATGGACTCAAAAAAAAAAACCGCACCTCCTGATTGGACATCTCCCAGTAAGGGCGTTCACCGTATGACATCACCTCCCACATGACAATGCCGTAACTCCACACATCACTGGCAGACGTAAACTTCCGGTAGGAGATGGCCTCAGGGGCGGTCCATCGGATAGGGATCTTCCCGCCCTAGAGGAACAAAAATGATTTTAGGAAATCATGGCATTGTAAGAGATCACCGATAAAATCACAAACAACCAATATGAGCATTTTGTACAGAGATGGAGGATACAATGTATCAATCGAACATTTGTAGAACTCATTGGACACAGGGGCGGACTGACCATTTGGAAACCCGAGGGCCCGGGGTCAGTAGGGAGCCCCATGAGATGCCCCTGGTACCTTTTTCATAGGCTTTTTTGAGTTTGGCAAAGGACACAGGGGCCCCATGATCCCCTATTGCCCGGGGGCCCCATGAGTTGTCAGTCCGCCCCTGATTGGACACAATCTATTCTTCGTACCTATATATACACAATCATAATTCCGAGGACACCGACGAGTGAAGCACACATCTCCGGAAACAATCCAACTCTCTGCAATCTGCTCAGTATTTGTACATTTTCTTTGCAGAGTCTTAAGACATCGTATTTTTTTCCTCTTAAACTGTCACTTTCAAACTTTATTAAAAAAATTCCTGAGCGGTCACGGTGTGATCGTTGTTCTACAATAGTCACCCTACCACATTTTTGTACCCAGTTATGAACAGCACTATGCAGAACACACACAAGACTTCCTATTTTTCTCTCCTTTCGAGAGGCACGTCAAGAATCTGTAAGCTTTTCAATCTAAACAGTCTCAGAATTCTCCCCCCCCCCCCCCCCCACCGCCGTCACATGTCCCACGTGTACTTACGCTGGTCGTGTACGTGGCTTCGGGGTCGTCCTCCAGAACCCGAGACAGGCCAAAGTCGGAGACTTTGCAGACCAGCTGGCTGTTCACCAGAATGTTCCGAGCGGCAAGGTCGCGGTGGACGTAGTTCATCTCGGACAAATACTTCATGCCGGCGGCGATACCGCGCAGCATGCCGACCAGCTGGATGGGGCTGAACTCTCCGTCGTTGTCCTGCAGAAAGGAAAGCAACCATCTTTAGTGAGGTTTCTTCTTGTTGGACAATAATTTGGAACAAACGAAACCAAATCCTAAAGTTCTCACCTTAAGGAACCTGTCCAGAGCTCCGTTCTCCATGTGTTCTGTGATGATCATCATTGGTTTGTCTACAAAGACACAAAAGCCAACATCAGGGACGGCACAAATGGGATAAAACTGCCAAATGAGACATAAAATGAAGGTTCCATGCTTACATTTGGAGACCACGCCTTCCAGACGGATGATGTTGTGATGACAGAACTGGCCCATGATGCTGGCCTCGCTCAGGAAATCAATTCGCTGCTTTTCTGTGTAGCCGGCCTTCAGCGTTTTAATGGCCACCTGACTCTCCTTCTTTGCTGGAAGCTTCAGGATCCCCTTATAGACTTCTCCAAACTCCCCTGCGACACCAAAAATAAGCACGTCAGCAATGGACCTGCTTTTCCCAGGAACCTCCTCTGTGACCTTTGACCCCTTTTAACAGTTTAAATTGAATGAGACTCTAAAAACGGTCTCCAAGGTCATTAAGGATAATACACTATATAGCCGAAACTTTGCTGGCCATCAGCTATATGAGCTTGTTCGACATTCCCTTTCAAAACTATGGCCATTAATTGGAATTGCCTCCCTCCCCCCACAGCCATTGATCCAGAGTTGCCCTTCCTCCACAGTGCCTACAACAGCGTCCACTTTTTCTTAGAAGACTTTTTTGTTATATGTCTGTGGGAATTTGAACCCATTGGTGAGGTCAGGTATTTATGTTGGATGAGAAGACCTAGCTCACCCATTGGGGTTCCAAGTCATCCCAAATGTGTTTAGTAGGGTTGAGGTCAGAGCTCTGGGAAGGACACTTGAGCTCCTCCACACCAAAATTGGTCAAACCATGTCTTTATGGAGCTAGCTTATCATTGGGTTTCCATTTCACCTCAAAGGTGTTCAGTAGGGTTGAGGTCAGGTCTCTATGCAGGACACGAGTTCCTCCACACCAAAATTGGTCAAACCATGTCTTTATGGAGCTAGCTTATCATTGGGTTTCCATTTCACCTCAAAGGTGTTCAGTAGGGTTGAGGTCAGGTCTCTATGCAGGACACGAGTTCCTCCACACCAAAATTGGTCAAACCATGTCTTTATGGAGCTAGCTTATCATTGGGTTTCCATTTCACCTCAAAGGTGTTCAGTAGGGTTGAGGTCAGGTCTCTATGCAGGACACGAGTTCCTCCACACCAAAATTGGTCAAACCATGTCTTTATGGAGCTAGCTTATCATTGGGTTTCCATTTCACCTCAAAGGTGTTCAGTAGGGTTGAGGTCAGGTCTCTATGCAGGACACGAGTTCCTTCACACCAAACTGGTCACACGAAGGCTTTATGGAGCTGGTCCACACTAGTCAAATCATATCTTTATGGAGCTGATCCAAAATTGGGTCAAACCATGTATGTATATATATATATATATATATAGCTGGCTTTGTACACAGTGGACAGTCATGGGGTGGAACAGAAAAGGGTCTTCACCAAACTGTTACCACAAGGTTGAAAGAGATGAAGAGAGCTTGTCTACAATGTCTTTGTATGATGGAGTATTACCGGAACCCTTCACTGGAGACACCTGAACGCCATAATTCGGTACGCATACATCTGACCATATAGTGTATTTCCTTGCCTTATTTTCCATTTAGGTTGGTCAAAAAACACACAGAATAAAAATACACAAGAGCAACTAAAATAAGTCAACCGGAACATCTGTACCCTTGTAGAAGATCATCCTTCACAACTTGTTGACACCTAACCTACGGGAACGAAGATACAAGTGAACATCTCTCATGGGGTTCTGACCTGTCCCTGCTATATCCAAAGCAACAGGTTAATCTTAGAAGTTCCACAGACATGAGTGGCCCCGTATGGCACTCTTGTGGTTCAGCATGTGCATCTGATGTGATCCTCAATGGCCTTACAAACAAACTGTATGGCGGCAGTGGCTATATTTGTACAGACCGGTAATCTGATGCCCTTCAGTGAGTCAGTACAGTAGTATTTAACTAAAAACCGGTCTGTGTTCAACCATCAATGGTAATCATGCATGACCGGAAGGAACCAACAAAAAAAACACAATAGACTCCAAGATGTCGGTCCAAACTCAGAGGGCAGGCAATGATTCGTAGCCTGGGAGTGCGATGTTCTACCGATAACGGATAAGCCTCACTAAAAAAAACATTTCTACGCACTCTGGATATTCCACATGATCTCAGCATTACGGCCAAGAGCCCTCTACAAAGCACCATTAAAATTCTAGACATACACCAGTTTGTGAAAACATCCAGTCTACATCTTGTGGCCTACGAAGATTGAGGCCTCTCATTGGCCAGTCTGTTCATTGCAAGTTGCCCCCTCCTACTAGGATCCTCACCTGCTCCGATGACCTTCTGCCGAGTGACAGCATTGGGGGGAATCTCTGTGGTAAACTTCAGCACGGCCTTGTTGGGGTCTTCGTATGTGTGAGGGTCCACGTACGTCTTCAGGGGCTTCATTTCTGCAAAGGACCAGAAAACAGGGGGGAATCAGACATGGCGGGGGGTGCTTTAAGGAGTAGATGGCTTGAGAGCAAGCAAATATTGCCTTGATGGGCCTTCTTGACTTGGAGACTTCATACATCCAAGACCTTGGAGGGATATTAGACAATCGGGATGTCTGAGAGAAGAATTTACACTCTTGTTGGGATAAATGTAACTATCTTAGCAATGATGAAGGATAATAAAGTGAGCCAGATGGACTACTGCAAGACCCAAATGGACTACTGCAAGACCCAAGTGGACTACTGCAAGACCCAAGTGGACTACTGCAAGACCCAAGTGGACTACTGCAAGACCCAAGTGGACTACTGCAAGACCCAAGTGGACTACTGCAAGACCCAAGTGGACTACTGCAAGACCCAAGTGGACTACTGCAAGACCCAAGTGGACTACTGCAAGACCCAAGTGGACTACTGCAAGACCCATATGGACTACTGCAAGACCCATATGGACTACTGCAAGACCAATATGGACTACTGCAAGACCAATATGGACTACTGCAAGACCAATATGGACTACTGCAAGACCAATATGGACTACTGCAAGACCCAGTGCTGTATAAGTATTAATTTTATCAAAATGGTCTCATCTTTATATCCAAGTCCATTTATGACCTACAACATCAGGGGCCCAGACATGATATTTTAGTACCATAGTCCAAGTTCCACCACATGTATCCCTCTGGGAAGCCACTCTCAATCAGGGTTCCATGGAACCCCAGGGTTCCTCCAGAGGATGCAATAGGCTCCTTGATCTTGCTGCATAGTTCTGGTGCCAACACCACATGGCAAAGCCGGCTTCACAACACCAGTATTGGTTCTAGCTTTAGGTAAGGGGGGCATTCTGACCCTGTTCAGGGAGCCATAGGTAAGGGAAGGGGGGGGGGGGGGGCATTCTGACTACACTGTACAGGGAGCCATCCTCCCATTGGACACCAATGAATTGGGTTTAGCAAGAATTCCTGAAAATGATCTCAAGGGTTCCTCGGGGTCAAAAGTTTTAGAACTGCTACTCTATGGGGATACCCAACTAGGTGAGCCCAGCAAAAAAATTCCCGATCCCCCAGTTAGGAGTTTTTGTGAGGGAAGACGTAGGGTGAACTCACCAGATTTAGAGAAGTACACATCCTCTGCAGATTGTCGCGCACGCCCGTTTCTTCGCCTGCAATATGAGGAAACATTTAGCACCAAAACACAGACTCCCAATTACCGAATAAAGCTGACAGATACCGAGAGAAGAGGTCAAGCAGAAGGAAGGAGGTCACAAAAAAGGGACAAGAATCTGGGTACATTTACACAAGACATCGAAGAAGAGAGACACAGAGAAGGGAAGCATGGCGGGGTACTTACGTCCGGTGTACAAAGACGACAAAACCGATCAGTAGAATAATGAAGAACACACCGGCTGCTGCTCCTCCGATGATGGCAGCTTGGTTGGCTCCTTCTGGTTCTGTGGACATAAAGGGGTTTTAATATCAAGCCCTAAAAACGATGACCATCGGCACAGCCGTGAACTCAAACAGACCCACCATACAGGTAGTATTGTTCCAATCCTTCCACTAGCCCTACATCTACCCTTACCTGCTGGGAGGGTGTCAAACTCGTACTCCATGCTGTATGTGCCGGCACCTTCCACCGTCTGGGCCTGAACTCGCACCACGTAGGTCGTGCCCGGCACAAGCTTCTCAATGGTCAGAGAATTGCCGTCACAGCGGTGAACGGAGTAGCTATTCTCATCATTCTAAGAAAAAGCGCAAATTAAAGGCTTAGAACGAGATTTCGGCAAACATACGGGAATTGGCAGAAGGCTTTTTTGTTCCGCTCACCTTTTTGTTGTAGGCCACTTCATACTTCGAGACCCGATTCTGTTGGCGAAGTGCCACCGACCAGGACAGGCTCAGGGATGTCTTGCTTCGACTGTCCAGGTTGATGGAAGTCACTTTAGGAGGCTCTGAAATTGGAGGAGATCTGATGTTAGCCAGTTCCTGGTTACCATTAAGCATGGTATGGACATGGCTACGGTGGGAATGGACAACGCTAGGACTGGACACGCCTTCAATTCCTCTTACCAGTCTGATTAAGGCTGACACGCAGAGTTGTGTGGCTCCCCGCCGTTTTGGCGCTGGACACCCCATTCCTCGCCTCTACGGTGAACGTGTAATTGAGATGAGGCTCCAGGCCGCTGATGGTCAAGGCGGTGGCTTTCAGGTGGCGAGGGTTCTCCGAGAAGTGGATGCTGGCATCACAAGGCTGACACTCCGTCTGGTCGGGCAAACATTGTTCACAGGTGACAACGTAGAGGACATCATCGCGGCCCCCAGTGTTACTGGGAGGTAGCCAGTGCAGCATGACTTTAGAACCCGAGCCGGCGGCAGTCAGCTCACGGGGCGCCGATGGAGAACCTGCAAAGCAATCAGACATTCAGGTCCCACATCTAGAACAGTTCCATCCACTAAACTCCCGGAACGTTCTTCATTACTTACTGGTGCAGGGCGAGGAGATGGGGTCGATGGTGGCGCGGAAGTAGCCATCCTGGCACGGGCAGGAGGTGGCCCCTTCGGAGGAGAGCTCGGTGTGGGCCGGGCAGGGTTGGCACGGGCTGTCCGAGGCTTCGGCTTTGAAGAACCCGGGTTTGCAGGCTGCAGAAGACAAGAGACGTGGAAACGGTTAAAGAATCTCACCAGACAAGTTGTTCCGTTCTGCAAAGATCATTTTACATGTGTAAACGGAGAACAAGAAAATGGACTTAAATAAACAAAACCGAGCCGAGCAAAACCTGAATGTGGCTTACGAAATGTGGCGTGTTTATAAATCACCTAACCACAAAAATGGCTTCAGAAGGGGCGGCCGGGGCACCTCGGGTCACATCCTGCTTGGCTGAAGCCGTGTTAAAGTGGAAGAGTCACCAACACGTCTCCATAAAAAAACTCCTGACGGGGCACAATATACAGCCAAGCATTGCTCTTCAGAGATACGCCATCTTTTATCATTGAACCCCAGTCAGTGCCTAGGCTAGATGTCATCAGTCTGCTGCAGGCAGGAGGAGGCATTTCCTCAGTCTCTCCCCAGTGATCAGACTATTGAAGGGGGAGGAAGCATTTCCTCAGTCTGCCCTCCCCCAGGGATCAGACTGTACATTGAACTTTGCAACAGGGGCTGATCTGTGTCAGACATTTGTGAACACAGCCTGTGTATGTCTTTTTGTATCACAAAGAATAAGACGCAGTCATAAATCAAACACACACCTACGGTTCTTCGATGTAACCTTTCGCCCCCTGACCTCCGCCCCCAGAGGAAGCACCGTTCCTTGCCCTCCTGAGATCGGAGCACAGAAGGGGCTGACGGAACACACAGCCAATTTTCTTCTCTGGAAATGACAGAAGCCTCTGTTGTCTGGCCGGGTTTATTTGCTGCTTTTTACGGGTGGCTGGCCGGCTTATTAAACATTTAATGGAGGTTCTGGGGAAAATTCCTGGAGAGACGTGACGTGGAGGTTAACCCGTTGGGTGGACACAAGGCGGTCCCGTGAGCTGGAACCTTTCACCCGCTCCCGCATGGCTTTTGAAGCATCCAAGGAACAGGTCGGTCCAGGCGCCGGCTGTGTCACCTAACAAGAGGCCCACCGGGGGCGCAACCAGCCAGCTGGTTCTACCGGTCTGTCTGCTACTTGGGGGGGGTTCCAGGGTGATGAGGGACTGTTGTCATGCGCTACGTCCTATTCAAAGCAAATGTTTGGCTGCCGGAGACATCCTTCTAGGACGCCTTGGCTGGTCCAAGGTGACCATAAGACATGACAGTCTCGGCTCTGCGATCCTGCGCCACATCCTATTCAAAGCAAAGTGTTGGACTGCCGGAGACGTCCTTCTAGGACGCCTTGGCTGGTCCAAGATGACCATAAAGACATGACAAAAGCTCGGCTCTGCCGATGAGGGACTGTGGTCATGCGCCACGTCCTATTCAAAGCAAGTGTTTGGCTACCGGAAATGTCCTTCTAGGAGGCCTTGGCTGGTCCAAGCTGACCATAAGACGTGAGAGAAGAGGGACTGGTCATGCACCACGTCCTATTCAAAGCAAGTGTTGGCTGCCGGAAACGTCCTTCTAGGAGGCCTTGGCTGGTCCAAGATGACCATAAAGACATGAGAGAAGCTCAGCTCTGCCGATGAGGGTGGTACCTGGGGACTGTGTACCTTCAAAGCAAGTGTTTGGCTTGTAAATGTCCTTCTACAGGCCTTGGCTGGTCCAAGCTGACATAAGTGAGAGAAGAGGGACTGGTCATGCACCACGTCCTATTCAAGGCAAAATGTTTGGCTGCCGGAAACGTCCTTCTAGGAGGCCTTGGCTGGTCCAAGATGACCATAAAGACATGAGAGAAGCTCGGCTCTGCCGATGAGGGACTGTGGTACCTGGGGACTTGTACCTGTGGACTTGTACCTGTGGACGTACAAGTCACTTTGCCTATTCAAGGCAAAATGTTCGGCTGCTGAGATGTCCTTCTACGAGACCTTGGCTGGTCCAAGATGACCATAAGACATGAAAGAAGCTCGGCTCTGCCGATGAAGGACTGTGGTCATGCGCCACGTCCTATTCAAGGCAAAATGTTCAGCTGCCGGAGACGTCCTCCTTCAAGGAGGCCTTGGCTGGTCCAAGGTGACCAGAAGACATAAGAAGCTCGGCTCTGCCGGCTGACACATTCAGCATAGATGGCGAGCAGTCATTGGGCCCCTAGGGGGCCCTTTCAGGAGCCATAAAACACGAACAGGCCAACAAGGAGGGTTCTGGGGCTTTAAAGCTCCCATAAGTCAGTTGGGGTTTTATGGCACACATACAATGTACCGGCCAGACCGGTAATCCAACGCCGACACTTTACAAGGCTTTTCATTCGCCGGCTGGAGGGAGAAGACGTTTTACAGCAGAGCAGATGGAAGCTCCTCATCAAGGAGAGCCGGTTACGGTGGGCACCGTTCCATCGATGGCCAGATTCCAGGCGATTGGATTCTAGTCGATCGGCCCCTTCCTAAACAGTCAAAATCCCCGGAGCCGGAGATTTGCATTGCTTGGCCATCTACTCTGAACGCCACCCCAACACACGCATAGATCCAACACCGGCACCCGAGTGCACCCCAACACACGCATAGATCCAACACCGGCACCCCAACACATGCATAGATCCAACACCGGCACCCGAGTGCACCCCAACACACGCATAGATCCAACACCGGCACCCCAACACACACACACACACATAGATCCAACACACCCCAACACACATAGATCCAACACCGGCACCCCAACACACACACACACACATAGATCCAACACCGGCACCCCAACACACACACACACACATAGATCCAACACCGGCACCCCAACACACACACACACATAGATCCAACACCGGCACCCCCACACACACACACACCAACACCGGCACCCCAACACACACACACAGATCCAACACCGGCACCCCAACACACACACAGATCCAACACCGGCACCCCAACACACACACACAGATCCAACACCGGCACCCCAACACACACACACAGATCCAACACCGGCACCCCAACACACACACATAGATCCAACACCGGCACCCCAACACACACATAGATCCAACACCGGCACCCCAACACACACACACACACACACACACACACACACACATAGATCCAACACACACCGGCACCCCAACACACACACAGATCCAACACCGGCACCCCAACAACACACACACAGATCCAACACCGGCACCCCAACACACACACACATAGATTCAACACCGGCACCCCAACACACACACACATAGATCCAACACCGGCACCCCAACACACACACATAGATCCAACACCGGCACCCGAACCCCAACACACATAGATCCAACACCGGCACCCGAGTGCACCCCAACACACGCATAGATCTAACACCGGCACCCGAGTGCCCAACACACGCATAGATCTAACACCGGCACCCGAGTGCACCCCAACACCCAGTCGGAACGCTCAGTACAACGCTGCTAAAGGGATGTTCTGTGCGTTACGGTGAAGGGAGGACCCATTTAAAGGGAACATTGCGCCTTAACGCAACAGGTGGATAGGTGGGAGTAAAGCCCGCCTGACAACGTGACAACTCATTTCAATGGATTCTGATTGAAAGACTGGTGGCCATCTTACCAACATTTAAAGTGAATGGACCACTGAGAATGGAGTGGCTGAGGAGGGGGGGGGGGGGAGGGGTTGCACTGCAAAAGGTTTTGGGGATCACTGGTCTGGGGGGGGGTAGTAAACTTAGGCGGGCTGAGCCACAGTTTTACTGCCCACCTGAACATGGACGTGCAGCTACAACCAACCAAAAAACAAAGAATACAAATAAATGAAAGGCAGAGGACAGGAAGAGGTTGATGTCGAGAGTTTCCCCCACAGGAGAGAGTTTCCCCCACAGGAGGAGAGTTTCCCCCCACAGGAGGAGAGTTTCCCCCCACAGGAGGAGAGTTTCCCCCCACAGGAGGAGAGTTTCCCCCCAATGGAGGAGACCGTTAGTCATCTGTGGGCTGATAATTCAAATCGGTCAGATCTACAGTAAAGAGCAGCCCATCCAACCCCGAGGGGGGCAGAGAGGATTCCTGAATACAGAACATAGGATTACCGCCCCCCCCCCCCCCTCCATTCTCTCCAGCAGCAGGAGCAGGGGGAGGAGGACTCACTCCAGGGATGGAAGGGTTCAAGTCTTTAGTCCTTTAAACAAACAATTTCTTCTCCCCGGAGGGAAGGACAACAAAAGGGCCCGGCAGGGGGGGGGGGGGGGGGGGGGGGACCCCGGAGGGTGACGCTAAAATGTTCCAGACAGAAGGGAAAAGGAGGATTAAAACATATCAAAGGACCACTAAAAACAACACGATGGGGGATGGGAAAGAAGTTGTTGATGAACTTTAATGAAGATGTCAAAGTTTTGAGAAACTTGAAGATTATAAATATAAGACGTTCTAAACGATATATATATATATATAGTGTGCAGGAGACTCTCAGCTCATATATAGGGGGGGGGGGGGGGGGGGGGGGGGGGGGGGGGGATGAAAAAAAAAAAAAAAAAAAATAATAATAATAATAATAATAAACAGAGAACAAAAATTATTTCTCATTTAGATG